GCTCGGATTGGCTCGCACCCACACTATTTGTGGATGGAGGTTAGCGTTACACCCAAGCGAAATCAGAACAGCTGTACAGTAGTAGGAAAACTAGTTTAGTAAGCATGAAGTGGTACACTCTACTCAGCACATGTGAGCACGTAAAAACTGTCTGCCACGGAAGTCACCTGAACGCAAGTACGAGTTCCAGTGCGAAGCGAATCAATGGCGGACATTGGTTGTCATACAGACACGTACGCCCACAAGTACACGCACTCCTACGCAGCAGCCATTTCGGCTGATTAGCAATGGATGGTTTTGGCACGACTAGGGACCGTCTCATCCCTCCCCTTTTGGTTCGGGCTAACCGACCTGGAAGCGCTTGACTGGTCGCTGTTGACGATTAGAATGACGTAACAAAGGTTCAGTTAATGCTTGTGCGTCAGTCATCTGCATATCGGTCGGTGATTGGAATGACAGATCTGGTTCAGCACTCGGTTCGACAGTCGGCCGCACATGGTCCAAATGACGCCGCACGATCCGACCATCCTCAGTTTCTGCCTCTACCATCTGTCCGTTGGTTGTTTTTACAACGACCGCCTCCCACCCAAAGTCTATTTAAACGGACGTAAATTAGGTCTGACTCTGTCACACTGCTGTCCCTGCTGCAACTACTAAAATGTTCTTTCGCCTGTTGTTGTCTTCCAGTAACTTGTGACTCAATAGTCCCATGCAGTAAATCTAACCGTGTACGCAAGCGTCGACCGAACATTATCTCTACCGGGCTTCTAGTTCGGCAGGTCGCCATGATTGTACGGCAGCGAAACATCAGTTCAAATGGCTTCTGTGACGCTGTTGATGATTATGATGATTTCCCTTCAAATGTGTGATCGATGTGATCATAAATTACTCCCCGATTAGCTTCTTCGGAATAAGCGGATAACCTGACTCTCCTTGGGTCAGACCCATTGGCTTACAGGAATTAGTCAATAGTTTGACCGGTAGCGCTGTGCGCTTCGATATGTGCTGTTGCAGCTGTGGACCGACACACCTGCGGTTTTAACTCTCATCGAACATCCACTAGCAGCGGTGGGTCGGTTCATCTACTTTGGTTGTTGGGTCACATCTGGTGGCCACATCACTGCGGAGGTTACTTCACTTATCAAGCAAAACCCGTATGGCTTTCCAGAGACTGTAGCATCTGTGAAAACAGCGGGATATCCGGTTGTGAGTGCAAAGTAGGATTTATGCCCCTGCGATAAGGCCGGTGTTACTGTATGGAGCAGAGACTGGCCAGTTCGCAAGGAAGACATTAAACGGTTGATCGTGTTTGATCACCGGTGCTTACGGCGTATTCTTCACATCTGGTCTGGACGCCAGGAGAGCAATGCTGAGGTGCACCAGTTAGTTTGGGTTCAGAAGCCTCCTGATGCCTCACTGGAGTATTTGCTGGATCGCAACCGCCTTCGTGGGCTAGGTCATGTCCTACCAGTGGACTTTTTTAACATGTATTCTATTCTCTCACCGTATCAAGTTGGACGCAATCGTTAATTGATGTGCTTTCTTTGGGGCTTGGCACCTCGAAATGTTCCACATCAGCGGTTGGTGACCCTAACGGATATGGCGCGATGATTGGGGGTCTTGCATTCGGTTTCTTACATCTGCCTATTAATTTTTCACCCCGATTAAGTTCAGTCAGTGTTTTCCTAATTTTCCTTTTTATTCACCACTTATGTTCGACTTAATTTTCTCATCATCGTTACTTTTTGTTATCCCGGTGATACGAGTTATGGCAGCTGGATCCACTGCACTTCGATGCTCGAATAGTAGTTGATACGTTGAACGTTAAAGCGTTCTGGTTAGTGTTGGATTTCCCAGTTATTGTTTTCTTAATACAATTCCTTCACAGTGGGATGCGAACGAGTGTGCAGCTGTATGTACAAAAGTCGGACAACTTCAGTGTTGTCTCTGATGTGTAGCAAGCCCCTGCCTTAGCCCCTACTCTCTATAACACATCGTTGTGGCTTGCGTTTAGTGCATCTAATGGCAGTGTCCGTCTCGAGCAATTGCATCGATGGTTTGTTGCTGAACACCCAACGTCTCATGGCGAAAACTCCAGTTTTTGAGACAGCCATGCGGATATTGTTTGCTGACGACTGTAAATTGTTTGCACACAACGACGACGGCTCTCGCCTTCGCGGCAGCCAAGTTTGAAACCACCATTAACAAAAGCAAGGCTGTTTTTTAGCCATCACTAGAAGTGGAATCTGATTGGGCTTGTCGCAGAACATGACTTTTATTGGGTTTTTGAATAACTCACCGAATTTTTCTTACCTTGGGAGCATGCTATCCAAAAACTTGCACCTTGCCTACAAGCTTCGCATTAGTATATCGAAGCCGTGTGCGGTTTTCGTCAAGCTGGAGCATCTGGTTTGGAATATTCATCAGTCTACTCTCGGAACCAAGTTTATGGTACTGTCTGTTCCTCACTACAGTCAGTGAAACATGGGTGCCACACAGGAAAAACATTCCTTCGCTGGAGCGCTTCCATCAGTAATGACCGCGTCGCATTCTGCACATCCGTTGGGGCAGCATATTCTTTTTGCACGGAAGTGCTCCACTGGGTCCGCATGTGATGAATGGATTTCATGCGGACTCGGGCAAGTCCGCCGTCGCATGTATTTGACTAGAACATAGAAACACTTACTGCAGATTGTTGAGTTGCTCGCTGAGAGTTGGGCAATTCAACTGTGTACGTTTCGTCACAAATCAATGTAATACTATCATTGCAAGAGTACTAGTGATTTCGTAGCGAATACTCGCAGAAGGCGATTACGGGGATGGATGTTGTCAGGTGCTACTCTGTTCATTACATGGATTTCTGCTTTGTTCCAGTTGGTTGATGATCGTCTATCGGAACATGATCGAAGTAAGTTTAACACGCTTTAATGTGAATAGATGTTAGGAAGTAATGGCAATGAGTGACCGCAAATGACTTAACCACATCAAGAGTGCCGCTGCGCACTTACACGAGAAAGGTCTATTGTACCAGGAAGAAAAATGCCGGTTACGGAAGTGACATGTACCGATGGAGCCAACCCCATCGACATCATGCACCTGATGTTGTTGCATATGCGCTGGTGTGCTTCAGCTGAGCCGGTCTGGTAATGCATCATCTTGGCCACGAGTAGTTAGAATTAAAGAGGTGACGATTGGGTAAATGTAAACACAGCATACTTACGTTGCTTTCGATTCCATTAACTAATCCAGACCACTAATGTGGCCCGTGGGCTGCATCGTCGCTGCAGTTTGCCTGTACACCCATATGGGTGTGTGTTGTCACATGTTTAACAGTCTTTGTCCATTGTTATTCCCGGTCTGATTGCACTTGATTCGAAAACCTGCAGATCGACTATACTGACTCCAGGAGACAGTTAATCTTTATGGGGAGGCGGGGCGCACCGTCTCTCTATCCATTGTAAAATGACACATTCAATCCACCGCCCTATATACGACCGGTATGCACGTTTCCCACATTTTATGTGAATTATCTGCATGTTGACAAATCGGTAGTAAGCGCAACACTCGCAAAATGAACTAAAAATAAGGCGAAAAAAGCAATCATATTTTTATCTTTTTTCTGCACTCCCTTTTGTGCTTCCTTGGTCGCTCCTTAAAGTTTGATGCCTTTGAACTCATGAGTTTGTGCAAACTCGCGCACAATGCCTCCTTTGTGATAAGTTTTGCGTCATTGCTTCGTTTGTAAGTCATTAGCGCTTTACATTGGGTCCGCGACCCGGTAGATGTGCGGTACTAATATGGCTAACCAATAAGCTAGCGATTTCACACTTTGTCGCCAATTTGTCGCTTACCCCCCCACTCGTTTTTTTCTGACGTAGCTTTGCGTGTGTAATCTTGGCGCGGGGTTGTAAAAACAACAGATACGAACAAAAGAACAACTTGAGCGCACTTAATGTTACATTTAATGACAGACATTGTGGAGCGGATGTATATGTATCTAGGAATATCTTTGAAACCGATCAGAAACTCATCATTTCAGAGGGCTTGGTGAACGTCATGCACGCAACAAATACATTAACCGGTCGTTCACCAAGTCTTCTGAAATGACGGATGCATATATGTGGTTCATGTACTCGTGTTTGACGGCAGAGTGGCATTTCGCTGGCCACGTGGCCCACTTACCGGTCTCTTGGTTTCATGTTGTCCGCCGTGAGTTCAGCTGACTGGGTAGAAACCTAAGGTGAAGAACTGATGAAATGTCAGCGAAGCTTCAGTAAGCAACTCGAGTTACTGCGTTGCTCCTCTCTAGAGAGTAACCACATGTGCCACCACACATAACATGCTCTGCATTCCGAGAGTCGTGATTACTATTATCTTCATCAATCCTTTTGTCGAAACATTTCTTTCCGGCCTCCATCCAGCCATTTTTCCTCTCTCTCTCTCTCTCTCCCTGCTATCTTTATTTCTTCATCTTTTCTTGCCAGACGGCAGTTCGAACCCTTAAATTTTATCCTCTCATGATGACTAATACTACAAGCACGTAACTCTTGCCCACTCTTTCATCATTTCCCTAGACTTATCATTATTGATTTTGACAGATCTCACAGATTATCCTATTGTATGGCTCTTGACAATTTGTTACACCCACTGGATAAACCTCTCCGTTTTCTGTCTCTGATCGAACTCCTCAAAGGGTTTGTCGTGAGACCTCCATGTTCTCAGTCTCTACTTGTCAGCATGTGGCCACTTTTGTTGTTTCATTATCACATCCCTTACCATCCCTCCGGTGTCTGGAGTGTCTCCAGGCCCGCGTGTCCCGAACAGAAGTCGCCGTTTACCGGCCTCTTGTTTGCCACGAACCTTGCCTGCAATAACCACAGCTAATATAGCGCCGTCGGCCCGGTTTCTGTGTTCGACTCATCCAATTTCTCTACCTCTGATGCCGTCCATGGTTTCGCTCCATTTTTACCTTGTTTTTTTATTTTCCCCTAACACCACAGGATTCCTCTATTTTTGGGGCATTGCCTTCCTACTTACCACAACGCTGGTGGCAGTGTTGAAACACGAAGAGCAATCCTCTCTCACTAAACCTGTTCAGAAATGCATGGACGGTGTGAAGCGACGTATCTCAGCGAACTTTTCAAGCGGCACATTCCGAAATACCAATGATCGATCCCATGCCCCAATGCGTGTTCTCAGATCCGATACGTACTCAACTATTCTCAGGGAGAGAAGTACCGATGAGGACTGTGTCGAGCTGACCACCATGACCATTAACGGGCCGTGTGCGGATCATAACGATGTCAACGCCAACTTATCAACCCTATCTACCGCTTCGAGTACCTCGCTGGTAACTAAAAACGTGGCTTCCAATGAGATTGAGGTTTTCCAGAACAACACTGCCCATTCCGCAGCCGAACTCTCACTGTTCGATACGTATCGAACCATGCTGGGTATATTGTGCCTGAAGCCTGTCATACGATACATTTGCGTACTATTTCTAGTCAAAGTGAGCGCATCCGTTTGGGTACACGTTTTTGCCTCTGTGACAATCACATTGTGATTTGTCTGCTTGAAATTTCTCTTTTTACTCTAAGTGGTTTATTGCAGTACGCGTTACGTGCACCTCCCCCCCCCCCAAGCCTCGCGTTGTTCGCGATGCTGCAAACCAACCTTATTACAAGACATGGAGATTTGATTGGCCATAACCTCGGCTGCATGCTTGCACTAAACTAAGGGATAATTTTGTTTCACTCGTATACCTCAATTCGTTATTTTTGTTCGCTTACTTTGACAGCATGTACCACCAATCCTGATTGCAGTGCGTCGTGATTGTTCTCCGGCCCGTTACATCCTCATTGATTTGACCACTGACACTTTGCCCCTCTTCCCACCTGGATCTTCGACTTGACCACAGCTTTTTGCTTCCCTACGATGCAGTCTTGAGCACACATAGCTGAGAAATATGTGTATGGAAGTGTTTCCCCTTCCTGACGGATAATGGGAGTTTGGGTTGAGATTGGCAGTATAGTTCGATCAACGTTAATCTGATATGGGTAACTATGAGTTAGGCGGTGACACATCTTCGCCCATCCACACCCGTGTATGCTACGGAGGAGGTGACTCCCCCACAATATTCGATCTATGGTTGGCGGCATCCGGTTTCCGATTTGTCTGTCACTGTTGCCAGCCACAGGACGCCTGCGCCTACAGAGGGACCGTGGAAGGCTTGCACCGCACCACTTACAGTTCCAACCACCTACCCCATATCTAGTGTAAACCCGAAGGAATAAGACTGGGAGGCATATGGATAGGAACCACGTTTCATCAACGAAGCCGGCCCACACTCCTTCACAGTCAAACACACACTGTATTTGGGAATCAAACGCACACAAGGCGGTGGCTGGACCGTAGTCCGCTCCACACTGAGTGCATGGAACCACTCTTCGAGCCTAGCACAATCACAAGGACCGTGCACCCCGTCCCCTCCAGCAACGACTAACTGTCTATTGGAGCCAGTATGAACCAGGTAGTGGGTAATTGACAGATAGACTACTTGTCAGCATGCACACCAAGCGCAGCCACACCGGGGATATCAAACAGCAGCCAATCGCTTGAAAAGACAAGATTAAATAAAATGAATCGCGTAATGCATACAGATACAGAAACACAACTCTTCACTGAATGGGCATATGAAATAATTGATTACGAACGAATCCGCGATAAGTTCAAGTAGTTAGAAAAATATTTTAAGGAAATGCCACAAACGCGAAAATGTTATCGAAATTAACTACAATTAGCTTCGGCGACGTGTGCAAGTTTATAGAAGATAGTACAGATAGACAATAATATGAGAAAGAAAAGCATTAGGACAAAATTGCAAACCCACCACCTGAAATAAATAGACTTAGCATGCAAGCACGCGGTTAGTAAATCGAATGCAGCGTACATACAAACGCTTCGCCGGTTCTGCCTACGTTCTCTACAAGACCCGTCGTCGGATGGGTGGTGGTCCTTAGTGGCCTCGCTCATGGCTCACTATGCCTGTCTGACTCCGGCACTCGCGACCATATGCGCCACAGCACCATGCGCTCGATGTCGTTGGAGTACAACCCATCGGTGCTTGCCGCTTCCGCACTTGCCGCTTCTTCTCTGCATGTATAGGTCTTTCTCCCACACTTCGGCAACTGCCTTCGTGATCAAATCGCGCAATGCACGCCGATCAACCGTCTTCGATTTCCATGACCTACAACCAAGATTAGTGCTTTAGTGGCTCACTAGTAACGTAAGTTTGGTTTCCCCACATGCCGCTTCCCGATACTCAGCTGACCATATAAGAGTTGTTTCGGTATCCGAGTAGAATCCATGCGGCTCACATGACCGAGCCACCTTAGGTGTATCAGGAAAAGTATGCAGGCCACTGCATGCATTCCACTTCGAGGCAACACTTCTTTTTACGCAACTCTGTCGCCCCATCCGATGCGCAGAATCCGTCGTAAACACTGTTGGTGGAACCGCTCGAGATATCGCACATCCCGCCGGTGCATCGTCCACGTTTCACTGCCGTATAGAAGAACGGATAGCACCATGAGTTTGTACACAATCATCTTCATGCCAACGGTAAGCTGATGGTTCTTCCACACTCGGTAATCTAGCTTTCCGGATGTCTCCGCTGCCTTCGATACACGCATACACAGCTCACTTTGTGTTGATGGTGAGCCCGAATCTGTCCGCTGTCGAAGCCAGACCGCTGGTCATGTGCTGCAACTCATCCGCGCTGTGCGCAAACAACCCACAGTCGTCAGCGAACAGCAACGTATGGATAGTTGTCTCAGCCTAGGGTTCTTGCACCGAAACGACGGATGTTCAGAACCCCACCGTCAATACAGTGCTCCACACGAACAGCGTAAGCACACGCGGCATCAAAAGCATATCATTGCATGAAGATGTATATTAAACAGGGCAAGAGCTAAGGCACAGCCTTGCTTCACACCAGAGACAACTGCAAAGTCATCCGAGGTCTCTCCACTCAGCTGCACCCTCGCTCGCATACCAATGTGCAGACATTCAAGTAAACTTACAAACTTACGCAGGCAACCAAACTTACCCAACACCAGCCACAATGCCTCGCGGTTCACCGTATCAAATGCCTTGGTGAAATCAACATAAAGCGAGTACAATGGCTGGTGTCGTTCTCTGCACTTCTCCTGGAACTGACGAGCCGCAAACACCATATCTATAGTGCTGCGACCCGAACGGAATCCACACTGCTCTTCCGCCACGTTAGGTTCCACAACCTGACTGACGAGGCGATTGAGCAGGATTCGGGCAATCACCTTGCCCACACAACTCAGCAAGTTGATGCCACGATAATTCGTGCAACTGCTTGCTACCTTTGTACTTGTACAGTGGTAGCGCAAGGGCATCCTTCAGCTCAGGAGGCACATCCTCCTCAATCCATACGCGTTGCACTAAGTGGTGCAGCGCAGTCAACAACGCGGGTCCACCGTGTTTCAATACTGCAGGCGAGATCCCGTCGGTCCCAGCACACTTATCGTTTTGCAGCTGAGCAAGTGCTCTCTACGTGTCATCCAGTGTCGGCGTGTACACCAGACTCGTCTTCACATCGTGCTACTTCAGGTCGTTCAATGTAGGCCAGTCAATCTCTAAACGGTTGCCTTTTTTCTGATCTGCATTATGTTTGCAGTCTGTGTGCAGATAGCGCCTGAACCACCATCGAGCAGCGTCCTCAGCGGCTCCAACCCCGGTCCATACACCGCCTTCAAGGAGTCAATGAATTCCTTGTGTTGGCGGTGTTGGGCGTAGCATTCCATCTGCTTCGCTTTCTCCGTCCACCTTGCATTATTAATGCGACGGAGCACTCGAGTCAGTCGCCGTCGAAGTTTGCGAAACTGATTACTCTTTCCCAAGTCACTCGGATCTGCGACATGTGCAGCAAATGCTGCATTCTTGCTCGACACCAATATGCCAATGGTCGCATTGTTCTCATCAAACCAATCAGGCCAATTAGAGTTTGCGCGCCCGATGATCTCCTCCGCAGCAGCTGTCACCTGGTCGCGAATGTGGTGCCACAGGTCGCCCACTGTGGCTATGCAGTCCACATCACACAAGCGTGCAGCCATCGCCTTCCCCAGCTCAGTACGTTTCTTCCCGGTACCGAGGGGGAGAATGTTAAATTTACGCCTCCTATTCACGGTGGCAGTGCAATACATAGATTTACGAAAATATATGTACAGTTTGGTCCTCACCAATTTGTGATCAGTGCCACACTCAGCTCCACGCAGTACACATGTCATGCGCACTTCACGCATATCACGCTGACGTGCGGTGACAGTCGAGCACTCCGTGGGTGCGTCCAGTTTGCTAATGCACTAGCACTCAGTGCAAACCGAGTGTTCGTGATCGTCGGGCGGTGAGTGGCACACAGTGAGAGCAGCCTTTCGCATTCGCTTAGCCAATGCCATGCGAACCGATGACCTCTGTCCATACCGATGAATCACGCTCAACGCGCGCGTTAACATTACCCAGCAGAAATGGTCGGTCGCCCCTTGGCGCAGACCGTATCACGGATGATAGCTGAGTGTAGAATTGATAACGTGTGTCATCAGGGTAACACATATTCTGACCGTACGTGCTTATAAAGGTGGCAAACTTACCACTTCCGAGTCATAGGCGAGCATTCTTCAGCCGCGCGCTGATGCCTGTTGGTTCACCTACCAGCTGGCCATGGAATCGATCGGATATTGCAAATCCGACCCCATGATCACGTGGTGCTGAGGTGACGTTGCCCACCGAGTAGAATGTGTAGCCAGCACCTGTTTCATGCAACTTACCTTGCTCAGCGAGCCGGGTCTCACTGAGTGCCGCAATATTGATGTTGTAGCGCACCGGTTCCATGGCGACGAGTGTAGTGCGTCGCTCCGGGCGCTCACTCGAGTTTCGGTCTAGTGGTGTGCGCACATCCTAGCAGCCGAGGTTGAGTGCTTTGCGCTCAGGCATACAATTGCATTGGTGGGCAATCGCAGGCTTCGTGTTGGTGGTTGTTCTTTGGATGTTTGCTTGAGGGACTCCACGCTGAGCTTTTGGCTCAATAGCCTGACCTACAAGTCAGTGGTTGGTTTGGAGGTTTGCTTGAGTTCTCCGCCCGAAGTCTTTGAGTCAACAGCCTGAGCCACAAGGCAGTGGAGAGCAGATCCAGCTCGGGAATGTGATTACAGAGACAGATTGGGATCTGCTTGACGGCCGTCACATGCAGCCTTGGAGGTACTGGAACGATTGATATATGTTTTGCGACCGTAGTAAGATACGCACCTGCGACCACGGCCAGACGCAGATGGATTTTGGCGGGTTTGCACCAATTTGACCAGGGGCTGCCTGGCTTGAGGCGTGCAGTAAGAAACCACTGAACACCCGGAGTTGCCCTCACACGGTCAGAGACAATGCGTGGCGCTCGTGCTCTACGCCAATCTAGCTGTGAGCTTATAACCCATAAACCTGTTGTCCCCCATGGCTAAGTTTTACGGGAAGAGGGCCATCGACCACTTCCTAACCTCCGAAGTGGATGGACTAGGATACTGGCAGGGCGCCCACACTTGACAGGAGAACGACTCGGGTCCTCAGCCAAAGCCTTCGATTAAATGTACACTCGAAAGGCAGCGGGTCTAGCACATGATCAGTTCACTGCCTCATGCGGATTGGTGTCCTGGATCTTAGCAGGCAGAAGGGCGTAACCCACCTCCAACCTAGCGGTCGCCACTAGGTGGCAGCAGTGGGTAGACCATCTGTCAGGATCTAGCCACCACCAGCCTCAGCGCACCATTGGCTCTCCCGCCGGCACGACATATATATATATATATATATATATATATATATATATATATATATATATATATATATATACTAGCAGTTTGCCAATAGACAGGGTCATCAGACTCTATAGAAGTCAGGAGAAGTCACAGTTGTCTTTAAACGAAAACCGAATGCAATTCTTCATATGGCACGGTACTTCTTGGATACCCAAGCGCAATCGGGTTGTCGGCTTAATGGAAACCGCTCGGAGGTTTTAGCTATGTAGCTCAATCGCAATGGAGCGGTGCGGAGTCAGCATCGCTTGCTGGAATACGATGTTGCACCGAATTGGTTGCGAGTCACGTCCGCCAGTGTTGGTAAACAGACCTTTGTGGTTTTTATAAAGAATACGCTTACCAGGTGCAACTCCAGCGCGTCCTTGAACACTGCCCGCTGAACCACTTGCTGGCTCTGGATAAACACGAATCGCGCAACTGCCACCACGTGGAGGTTGTTCGGTAAGCCAAACTTGGGGTTCGAACGCCTGCTCTCTCTCTCTCTCTCACCTGATGAGACCACATAAGTTCGAAACCGGTGATGTGGTGCAATGTTTCTCGGCGGTCCAAGCCTAATTTTCATGTACATGGTGGTCTTTTGTTAATTTTACCGCTATGATTCCCATCATCTGCGAATGAAATGGCCCAAATTTTCATCCTATGCCGCTAGTACCGTATACTCCCTATAGAGTACGGAATCTGCCATTAGCCGGTCGATTCGTTCTTGGCGGGAGTTAACTCGTCCCGACTATCACTCAACAATTGCCGCCATTACGCATCCAAGCAATGCTGTGTCAGCAGCGAGAACTCAGTACCTCTAACTCCCCTGCATTGATGAATACTAAACGCATCTCCTTGTTTTGTTATTGCAAAGTTGGTGCACTTCACGAAACATTATTTTTCACCGCACACCTCATTCAGTTCCATAACCGTTACAAAAGACCCCCACCATCTTCTACCCCACACGCAGTTTTGTTTCTCCCCCACCGACTCCATCACCACGTTGAAACTGATAGAGCGGGGCCTATCGAAGGAACGTTTGGCATTCTTATCCATGCTGCTGGTCCCCGTGCAAACCATTCTACCACTGCTTATCACCCGGTGGACAAACGGACCGTCTCCTTTAAGCATATTCGCATGTGCCGGCATGACACGGTATGTGGTCAACATTCCCTCTATGCATCTGCCGACCTTTATCGTTTTGTTTCATACGTTCATCACAGCGAATCCATGACACTCTTTTTAGTACGCCAACCTTTTCCACCATTTCTACTCATGTCCCCAGCGAGCGACCAGGGATGTCATCACATGCGCGATTTTGAGGCTGTCGTCTACTATCCAGCTAGTTTAGAGATATTGGTTGGAATATGATCTCAACCAATTTCGGCCGTATTTGCTAAAGTTGGCTGCGACTTCGTGCATCTCAAATCCAACAGCTCTCTCTTTTCTCTTCCCTGGACGCGATAGCTTAGCCCCGCGAAGCTGCACTTGACGCTGTAACGCGGTTCCCAGTCAATGCACGGATTCGGCTAACGCACTGTACCCGCGAAGCCAATCAAAATCCTGCACCCTCACCCGAGTGACTAGGCGCGTTCAGTAAGCACACGAAGCTTGCTTACTAGATAACACACGATTACGTGACCCACAAGGGAAATGACAAAAGGCGGGATGTACCCTTGAGAGTTTTTGTACGACCCACAAAGGCCGAACGCAGTTGACACAACGGTTCATTTTGTGGGAGAAAAGGATCACCACGTCGGACACGTGACTTACGAAAGACTATTGTTCACTTTGACACGGTTGTGCACTGCCTTGAGGACTGACTGGCAGGTGCTGCGTTGTAGGTAGGCAATGGACTCCGCGTGGCGCAGCCCGTATATTGGAGTTCACGATGCAATTGCGTATTTGTGCGGGAACACTTGACGTTCCCGCAACATCCTTTGTTGATAGGGTGTACCGCTTCTGACGAGATTTGACCTGAAGTGATTTCGGTGATCTCCGGATTCTTCGTGTTCCTCGGTAAGGCGGGTTAGCTAAATGTTGCGGCGATTGAACGGCTTCGACCGGAGTCTGCCGTTCCATCTCATTCCAGAATGTATCCAACAAGATGTGCAGTGGCAGGTGCACATGGTGGCTGACTAGCTTGGAGATTTCTCCGTGTTGCGATCGAAGTTGTTTTCGATGGCCAACTCACGTGTCATCTCCCACGGAGACATCATGCAGCATATCGCCTCGACGAGCCGTCATTGTTTCTTCGATCCATTGTGAATGACCTGACCGATAGTCGCGAGCGTATACCGGGGCTCCAACGGCGAACCCATTGTACGGGGAGAAGGCAGTAGTTTGTATTAGTGGCTTTTCAGTTGGGATGAGCGCCTCGTGAGTGGTGCGTAGCTTGCGACCCATAAACGCTGTAGCTGGAGACTGGCATCTTGGAGCTGGTGGATTTGGTGTGGAACGATAAGAGTGCAGTAATGCCTAATTGAATTTTTCTACGTTCCTGTCCAAGAGGTTTCAGGCGTGACCTCGCGAAGGTGCCGACAAACCTCTCCGCTTGTCCATTGAACCGGGAACGGTAGGGTGGTGAGCGTAAGTGTTAGACGCAATGCCGGCATCGGTCTCACCGTATTCATCAAAATAAGGAAGGCATCAGCAATACTCCGGCATATTGTCGTACCTACGCTCCGCTGCCACGCGACCACCGCGAGGTCGCCCTCACCTAAACGGATTCGAACTTGCGACCTCTGGATTACAAAACAGGCATGTAATCTTCTCGGTCATCGGCCGAAATTGCATATCACAATCAAGTAATCTCTGACATCACGCATGGCAGATATAAAGCTACTTGTTGCCATATCCTTTATGAAACCCTTCGAAGCATTACTGGACTTTCCGTTTAACGAGGGTCATATGCCCGACGAAGTTGGTGTTTCCCGACTGCCTGGCTGGGGACCAAAAGATGATGAACGCATTTGGTGGATACACTAGCTGACGTGGCGAAGAGTCGACCTCAGTGGCGTTTGTGTTGTGAGTCCTTTTGTCTCTGCCCTTCGCTATAGCTTCCCCTCCAACGCACCAATGTGATAATAGCACTATGTTACTTTTTATAGCTTTTGAGTCTACATTGCCTCCTCTCTTACCTTTTTCTATTTCGGCACATTACCTGAGGTGTGTTTCTCCCCCTCAACTCACGGGGATAATGATGACGATATGCACGACGGACTTTGCATTCTGGGTCGACAAAGCAATTTTCCGGTGTTTGCAACGGTGCCCTGTGGCGTCTCGACTCCTTGTGATCATTATTTGATCATCTTTAAATATCAATCCTTGGTCTAATGCGAGTTCGTCACAGAAACTGCTGAACGGCGTTAGTACTGCTGATGGCGCATTCTTTTTTCCGATAATCTGCTAACCATTGCTTGTTCCAGTCCTTGGCATAAGCGTCTTCTACGCCGCGTCACAACTTCCGTCAGTAACAGCGAATTGCTGTATTGTATAGGTCATGTCTAAGTCCCGTTGCATTCTACCTGTACCTGGGGCTGGATGGGCTCTCGAGAATGCATCCGCGACGTATGTCTGGGATCCAGGTTGATGGACGACGTTCGCATACTTCGCATCCTCTAAAAGTGACGACAGTTGACACCAAAAGCTTGTTGTCACTGAACCCATCGTTCCTTTGCTCGACAGTGTAAACTTTGGAGAGCTTTACCACGTACGTAATTACAAACAGCTTTCTCTCAATTCGTGCTAAGTGGTGCCCGACTGGCGTCAATGTTCAGCTTTGAAAGTCGTACGATTTCTCACTTTTCATCAGAGCCACCCCTGTTCACTGCTTCCGGTACTGTCTCGCACTGAATAGATCAAAGCAGACGAGAATCGGAGCATCTGAGATGCAATTTCTTACTTTGTTTAAACCTTTCTATCGTTCGCTTCCGCGGTGCAAATCTTCCCCTTTGTCCATCCGTTTCCGCATCGACTAACGTAACTAAGGATTTCGTTCAGCTGTCATCATATTTTTTAAACCCGTCCTCAATTCCCGTGAGCTCAACACATGTCCTTTGAACGCCAACTATGGTTTGCGCACCTAGACCTTCCCACATTTAAGTTTGCACGCATTTTTCGACGCTACGGCCAGACTTCTCCGGAACGACACCGACTAGTGATAATCGTCTGCTACGTAAGCCACTCGTATCAGGTTCCCTGGCGCCTGTAGTGAGCATCTTTTAAAGAATCTATCATTGGAAACTTCCTAAGCTGAATGGCAAACGTAGCCACGGAAATAGGCCGAATAATATGCAGAATGCTGCCAAGTATACGGTTTCCTAGGGCGATACGACGTGTCAAAATGCGAGCGATGGACCGTCACGAAATATATTGGTCTCGATTATACCGATCACAAAGCGCTTGGTGTCGGCAGATCGCAATTCTCTCTTTCAAGAATAGGATTGAGTGGCTTTAGATCACAGTACGCCCATCTGTCACCGCACTTTCCCGTAACACTTGTCGACTGGTTGAGCCAATCACACGGTTCGTCAAATTTGGCCTCCTTGCTAAGTAAAGATAGACTGTCTAGCTATTTTTAAAAAAATCTTTCTTTCTGGGCTATAAGCACCATACTTCTCGGTAAAGATACAGATGCGATGCATTTGCTTAGCGGTGAATTTACGTAGCTGTCAAGCGCTACAAAAGCATCACGTTGGAGGTCAATGTCTGTGACGTTCACTGTCAGACAAAACAAAACTAAGTGATTATATGGTATCAATACCCTCGGATTAGACATAAGGTCGACCTGAACTGCTGCAAACTCAAACTAATGCTTTGTTCCGTGCTTAAAATTGCCGACATGTGATATGATTTTCAGTTTCCTTTGAAGTTCCGAAGTGTCCCATATTGTTAATGCTGCACGTTCTTGCTTTACACTCCAATGCAGTGTTTTTTACACGTAACGTGTACATACTAGTTACTGCGCAGCATTTGTTGTTACAGTAAACACTTCCTCCCTGTCTTCGATACTTCCTGTTATTGACGGAGCGATTTTTGTGAGTTTTTGTGTGTATTAAAGGGAGGATATAATGCCAGAACAACATTGACTCCACTGATTTTTGTTGCGGGCCATGATGTCTAATTTTTTCCAACCACTGCGATTCAGCATCTCCTGGTCCCCAACCTGGGAAACGGGCTGGTCCGACTGCCGCCAAACTTGAGGTGCCTTCTTCATGTTCTTTCTCCACGTCCATTGGCTGTCCATCGCGGCACTTTTTCCAGTCGCTCACTGTGAGTGCAAATAGCGCTCCACTTGGAAGGCGATGGGCTGGCATGCGCAGAACGTGCCCGAGCCAGCGCATGCGATGTCGGAGAATAACGTCCTGAAGACTGGCACTATCCGCTTCAAACACGCGGTCTCGCACCTCGACGTTGCTTACGTGGTGTTTCCACCACACCCGAGCAATCCTTTGTCGAAGACTGACAGCCGCTTCATATATTCCGAGCGAATAGGTCAAGTCTCACAGCCGTACAAGAGTACTACACGGACGGAAGCATTGTACAACCCTGCCCTGAGTTTGAGACTGACATCACCTCGACGCCATTGGTGTCTCCACAGCAGCAGCATTCCTGTCTTCCTGTGTAGGGAACCGTGTGTACCAGACGTACACAAGGCGGTGTTTGGGCCGTAGTGCGCCCCACACTGAATGGAACCACTGTTTGAGCCTAACACGACCACGAGGACCGTGAACCCCCCCCCCCCCCAGGAACGATGCTCAGTTTTCTGGAGCCAGTAAAGACGAGGTAGTGGGTAATTAACGGGTAGACACCTTGTGAACATTCAAATCGGGCGCAGCAGCATCGGGGATATCAAGCGACAAAGATAGAATTTAAGCGAAGCAAACACGCAAAATTGATACAGAATGTGCAGCAGGATAACAGGATTGAACAAACTAAGTAAAGTGGAATGATTTCTATCAAGATTAAAAAGACTTCGTTTATGTGTAAGTCGGTTTAGCCCAACTGCGGTGAAGAAGCTTAATGAATGCGACATCGATTTCAGCATGAGGCACATTTCTTTTTTTTATATATTTCATCAGTCTACGAATAGACAGAGCTATCAGCAACCATGGAAATCAAAGGAGGGTGCAGTTGTCACAAAAGAGGACCGAAGATAACACTGTGAAATCCATGGTTTCGTTCGTTCACCAAGCATTTCTGCAAACAACTACCCCCTTACCTTATTTTGCTTCATAAGATACTAGTCAGCCAGTGTATATCACCCATTGATGCCGAGTTTGCAGGCCATCAATCACGCTGTCAAAATTTATCCAATCTGGTGGGATTCACTATGAATGCTGGCATCGAACAATGTAGAAATTTGCATATGTACGACTCCATCGAAACATGATCCGAAACGTTACCAGAAACCATTTACTACCCGTCAACCGTGGTGTCGTAAAATTTACTTTTAACACTGTAATTTGGGACTCACAAATATGTGACGAAAGCAAGAAAAGGCATCCGCAATACGCCCGTGCGCAGTACAGACGCATCGCTGCCGCGTAATCATCACCACTTGCACGTGGGCTAGGGATACTGCGAGGGTCGCCCTATCTGTACGCAGGCTCGACGCGCGCCGCCAAATTACAGAGCAAGCTTGTTGCCTTCAGGGTGCGGGCCGGCCAGTGTGTAACCATTCTCGAACTTTAACATTGTAGCTATGAACATCCAACTATTTTTTGAATTACCGCACTGAGTTTGCTTCCAGTATATGCTCCAACAAACCGTTCCTAACATTAACCACTCATCGTTCAATGAACAGTGGATAAGAAACTCGCTTCAAATCTGGAACCACAAGTTTGTACTGGCATCCGCGTGCAATGCATAGTATTTGCAGTGGTCTCATCATAGGAAGTCACCTAGATGTCGAGTGCGACAAATCTTGATGAACTCGGTTCATAACCGAGGATAAGTCAAAGTGTATAGTCCCAGCCTCTCACACCTGTCTTTGTACGGTAAGCCCCGTAAACTGGAGATGAGCATGCCAGCGACGTGTTCGCCTGTTCGATCTTCTGCGCTTTGCCTCTGGTGATCGGACAATGGGCGCGCGATCTGTGCTGTAAAATTTGTCTTATGATGGAGGGGAAGAGGCGAGGAGCAACATCTTCGAACCAACTACAGACGATACGTTAAAGCACCATAGCATGCGCAGTACGTTCCGGTGCAGCTTGTTCGTGTTGTCCACGGACTTCAACTCGCAACGTGAGAGTACGCCTGGGTTTTTCACGGAAGCTGTGGGATGTAGCATTGGGCCGTCAAGAGTATAGGTTCGGTCATCACCACCCTTCCCCAGGCTCATGAATACCGACTTTGAGGAGTTGACCGGGAGGTGGAACGGTAATTGAGGTCTCCTTGAAGTACGGCGCAGTCGTCGCTGATGCTTATCACTCTCCAGATCTTGTCATCCGCAGACAGAGCACACAGCGACCGAAGGAACTGTGGTAGGTCCTTGATATAAATCGGGAACAATGTAGGCTACTGGTCGGTGGATATCAGTCAGTCAGATGGCTATCGACTTGTGCCCTTCACTTCATTCGAACGAGAAACGTGTCCACTGGTATAGGCAGCCGCCATCACTGCATACTCTCTGCTTGTGAACGAGGCCCTCATGGTTCAACTTATCGGACGCTTTGCTGAAATCGACAAATTTCCCCTGGTTCATTGCTTGCAACCATTTAGTCCCTGTCACGATCAACTTGGTGGTGCATGAACCGCCCGGCATGAAACCGTGCTGTGCAGATGTCCCGTCGCAACGAGACTAAACCTTAACGTGGTGCAACGGTCTGCGTACCTCTTCAACCTATTGAGCTATACTGGGTGGTGCCTCTTAAGAGTGGTTAAAAGTCAGACGAACTCAGTCTTCTGGTCCTCCAGGTTGCAGCTTTGAAATGGGATGGCGTTCATTCCTGTAAAACCGAATCGTTGCCACTTCCACTGCCTTGCGAACAAGCTTTCGAGACGTTGGATTTGGTTGAGGACCCTAGTCGCGCAGCTGCTGCATTGAGCAGGGCGAACAAACGAAGACATGCTACTGCTTGCGCCCCCCATTTTTCTTTTCCACCTGTTTCTCATACTCCACTTGCGAACCTCATTACTCGCCTTCCCACTATAATTCCCAGCTTAACTGGCAGCAGCCGCAGTGCCACTGCAGTTATACTATCTGCAGCTATCTTCCCGCTCCACCCATTGGGCGCCTACCAACAGTAGCCACACTGTCCCGTTTGGTTGCGATGTGCAACTTTCAAACTTCAAGTCAACTACGTCAACTGGCTGCACTCGCACGCACATTGGACGCCGTGGGTACTAACGTGTGTTGTGTGTCCGAAACTAGGATAAATGTCCATCACGGGGTTATTAAACTAACTTCACCTGGCTTGATATTGTTTACATGCATTCGGAGTCACTGATGCGGCGGCCTCTGGTCAAGCTGGCTTAGGTGTCGTAATCAGTTTCAAGACTGTCATTGTTTGTTGACTGGATTCCGGTGAACATCCGTCTGTGGCAGCCCGTTTGACGACATCAACCAAGGTTGATTCACGAAGTCCTTACGTCACTGTTTGTTTGTGGTTTCCGCTTACGCTCCCACCGTCGGCAGTTCTGTTGCTGCCAAGGAGACCTACCACGAACTGAACACGCTACTATGCAGTGCTACCCGTTCAGCTATCATAGTACTTGCAGGGGATATGAATGCACAAGTTGATCGCCTTGGCTGTTCAGAAGCTCAGCTAGGTGATAAATGTGGGCTTAACTCCAACCGTACGGACAACGGCGAGCGTCTTTTGCAAATGTGTGCGGAACACCAGCTGTTTCTTAGTAACACTGCTTTCAGACCCAGTGGGCGCTTAAGTGTCACTTGACGTTATCTTGTAGCTGGCCAGCGATGGACCCAAATAGATCACATTGCCATAAGTTGCAGCTGGCTTGATTCCACACTGTATTGTCGTTGGTTCTGGAATAATTACGTCGACTCTTATCATGATTTGGTACGCTGTCGTTTTTCCATGAACTTTACCGGGAGGCGTATCAAGCGTCTCTCTCGAGTGGCACTGAGAAGTTATCTCAGCACTCGGTCAGGCAATCTTACCAGAACTCGCTCTTTTCTCCTAATGACACTGGCTTCAGTGCAGTGGGACCTCCGCGCCATGCACGAGTTATCAAAAGAGAATGGGATGAGGACTGAGTTGAATGTCGGATGGGAGCTAGGCCAGTTTACGTGACAATATGTCTCGAACTGCTCACAGCTGGACATTTTTGTCGCGATATGCGTTGGTAGCTGATATACTTTTCTCTGGCTATCTTAGATTGCGACAGTCTTTGCAGAGACTATGAATTACATCATGTTGAATGGAACGCGAAAAACTATAGGAATCGGCAGGCAATCCAACACACGAAGTCTGAAATTTGACGGCAATCAAAGCACGTAGGGGCATTTGCCGTTTGTCCAACAACTTTCTAACGGGAACTGCAAAATGATTTCTTCGGCATTTTGGAAAAACGACGTAAAAGTGACGTGAAATGGTAAGTCAGAATTTGAGAGAGAACACCATAATCTTTGAAAAGATGTCATACAGCTATTGCAGAATCAGAAATGAACCTGAATTATACCAAAGTTTTCACAAAATAATGTGTTGATAACTTCATAAGAGAGTATCCTGACAACGCAGCCATGGAACCGAACGTCGGTACTCATTTTAAACCCACTTCGAGATTACAATAGGCACCCTCATCACTGCCACCTTCCGTGATGGGACTTGTACGGAGATCAACAGAACAAGCCTTCGCTTTCCCAAAATCAATTTTGGCGGCTTGCACTAAACTGTCTATTTTTCTTCAGTTTTACCTCCGACTATCGTTGCAGCGGCAATTGGAATTGTGGTACCGAGCAGTTTATTATCTCGCAAGATTCTCCTACCATCATTGGATACCACATTTCGTGCATTTCCCATGGGTTGTAATCTCGTTCCATAAACATTCCTCCTAACCAGGGTAGAACTCTGGTGCAGATAAACCACTCAAAAGGCGGTGGTCATGGATGCTTCTTTGGCACAGTGGCTTTACCGCATATTGTCCTATAACGTGTAAATCCTGGACGACCTTTTGTGTGCTAGAGGTCATTCGTCCTTTTACCTCCTCTAATACATAAGATTGAGAGTTGTTACTGATGGAGTTCTTTACAGCTCTGTGAACGACATCAGCAACACACCGGTGCTTCATGCCTACGCTTTGCTACCACGTAACGACTATCAGTCGGGCATGGACTAAGGATACGCAGGCTCGAACCAGTGACATCCGGGTCTGGGAACAGACGCCTTGTCCGTTCGTCCACTGGCCTGCTTACAGCTCGAAAGTTCAAGCTTTCTTAACCACACAAAGCCACGTGCTCTCACTTATTCGTGAGTGACATAATATTTCCTAAACTGTGTCTGACGCCCGTTTGTCGGAGTGTCATCAGTAATCACCAGAGCTTATGTGACTACTCATTATAAATTTCCCAAATGTGTGAGCTGAAGTTATCATCTCAAAAGATGATTGCTCGATCGGAATGACAAATCGTGGTGTCTATTCAGCTTCCACTGATGACGCATCAGACTAGTACACTAACCACATTTAACGATTTCTATGCTTCTCATACTGTAAGCGGCTTTCGGGTTAACCTTTATCTACTTGCTGACAGGTTGCAGTTTCTCTTTTGCACTCTGCGATGACAAGAGTGATATAATTGAACGAATTGGTTCTTTTCCCTCCTTTACTAGTTAAACTTCGATTGGCTCGGCGAAGTTAGTTTCTGTTTTAAAATCTATCTTTCGTTCAATTCAAAATGACGGCAATAATCCTGCCATTTTGTATTAGCGTGTATTTATTATTCTCCCCCTCTCCAGTCTGTTTGTTTCAGCCCTAGCCATCCCACTGGTATACTACGTTCCATATTTCCGGCAACAAATTTCCTCTGCAACTTCGCCTAACGGCACTCACCTCGCGGTTAATGAAACGCTATCTACGCATCTTCATCAGCCACAATACACTTTCTCTTGGACATTTTACGGTCTCTTTCTTGCTTATTTGGCCGTGCAAACGGTTTTGGCCAATTTCATGTTTATCTCTCAAATGGCGTTCCACGCGAGAGTCAGCGATCCGGTCGTGGGAGGCACTTATATGACATTGTTGAACACTGCGGCCAATTTGGGTGAGTGCTTTATGCGATACCTTTAATCGAATACCTTTGACTATTCGCTGTGCTGTTTAGTAGTATCCCCTGAATACACAGTGCTCGTGTGTTCCCCATCATATTTCGCATACTGAGATTTCCCGTTTGACACGCACCGGTAGAGTTGTTCATTGGGTAAATATTTCAGTGCGCATCTTATGTTTGCAACTTGTTCACAATTCCCCATACCGTCTGTGTCCTGGTTGTGTCCAGTCCACGGACGCTCTCCTATCATTCTCTTGTTGCCACCGATGCTTTCTCACATCCTACTTTGTAATCCTGATAACGTTTAGAGTTAGACAATGAATCGAAAGAGCATGAATGGAGTGTTCTACTTAACATGGGATATTCATTTTGGATAATTGACGCAATAAATGACTGCCCACCACCGCATCTGATCGTATTGATTCTGTGACCCACCCACCGGAAGTGCTGTCCGGTTTGTTGTTAGTCAGTTAAGTCACGCCTCCGCCCTCTCGTTCGTTCTGTATAATGTGACCAGTAAGTCTTCTCAACAACAATGTGCTATTCATCAAAAGCGGCTTTACTCGACCATTTTTGCTTCTAAACATCGCAGTGATTCTCCCACTAGGCCAACACGCGTTCCTTTTGTCTATCCAATGTGCTCGAGATCCAAGTTCAGCATGTGAGCTCACTAATTCTAACGGCTTGTTGTCCCGCAACAAATAAATGATTCGTTTGTTCTCGACAATGCTACGTCTTTTCGTTCGGCAATGTTAGACATGGCCAGTCACCAATTGGTGGTTTTCCATTCCATCGTTTCTGACGCTCAGCACATGCGTTCGCGAATCGCCTATCTTCGCACTCTAACAGTGCCATGCTCATTGCTGTCTATCCCCGACATTCGGTTCTTATCGTTGTTCTCAGGCTGTAATACCCATTCTTATTTTTGCTACTATGTGATCATGTACTGAAGTGTTCCATTGAAGGCCACGCGATTTTTTTACCTGACTCCCAGACTTGATTGCAATCTACGCACGATTCACTCGCTTTTTGTCCACTGTTTTTCTATCTGAATCGCTCCCGACAACACATCTGACACTTTCAGACGCTCGATGCCCGTAACACTCAGCGATTCGCCTTTTTTCCGCTCACATTTTTGTCAGTGGATTGCGTTTGAACAACTCCAACTCGCAATCGGGCTGCAAGCTCACACACAGAACACTTTTGAACACAGCCGTTTCCAGGGTCTCACTTCAATAGCTACAATCCAAACAGTGAAGTGCGAGCACATTGTCACCTACAGTCGCCTTGCTTGGCCCACTAGCAATTCTGCAACACGGCACGCAGTGGTGGGTGGGCGAGGGAAGTGATACGAAATAGGCTTCAACAAATCTTGCTCGGGTTTGGATTTTGACATATGGTGCAGGGGGGGCCACTAACTCTTCAGCCACGTCCCAAAGCATCTACAATCCTAGGATTCAAGGCACCACATCAACGTGACTAGACCTCTCGGTTAGCTTCTTCCTGTCTGTTGGCCACGTGACCAGCCGGCAACTCTGTGGGTTTCACTTTGCACTTTGTTAGAACATATGGGGTTTTTTCGCTGTGCCCGTTCATTTGTGGCGAACAGTGCTTCTGTATCAACATTCAACTGCAGGCATTTGATGTTGCCTATTTCCTGCCATGCTGCTCCGTGCTATTGTTGTCTGCGGTCCTGGCTACAGCAGTTCCGTTCGCTATTGCGTTGGTGCATAACCGCCTGGTTGTGGCAAACCAACCACTCATGGCTGTCACATATGAACCCTCAAATTCGGATTGGCCCCTTCTGCGAGGAGTAACATGCATGCTCCGAGGTGGCCTCAAAATTGACCCCTCACTGTTCTGAATAACACCATAGATGATTGTTTGGCGTATCGCTATTTTCCCAAATCCCCACCGTTTCTCTGGATGCTTAATTATGGAGCATATATTTCCCAGACAATACGACTACAGCCACTAACTTAGACACTTGCGACGTTACCCTGCACTGTTGCGTTGTTGCGAGGCTTTAGCCGTTTTAGTTGGTCCCATTTGTCACTTCTGATATCGCGCTACGGCGCAATCATTGTTGTGCGAATCAGTGACATGGTCTTGTTTGACTGTCGTTACCTTCAATGTATTGCACAAGTCCGGTGGAAGAACAGAGTGAATGACATAGACATACGTCATTAGATGTTTGGGAACAGATCCTTTTGTTCCTTGTTGGACCACACGCGTCTCCGCTGGATCGATCATGAGCTTCGCATGTCTATCAGCCGGTACAACCTTGGCCCCTGTACTGTTTACCGGTGGCAGAAGGTGACAGCAATGAAGCATGCAAGAATTCACCGAAACGCGCTGGATCGGGTTAATGTCTTACTTGTTCTCCGATGGCGACCTCAGAATCGACCACGTCAGTGGTTAGCTGCGCTGTCAGATATGACACAAGCAGTGTGTCTTTCACATCTCTTAACTTATTCCCAACTCTTAATTATTCCATTTGACGATCTTAATTCTTGTTCATTCTTATAGAATTATTGCCGTCCTATGGCCTTAATTATCACAAGCCTGTCTTGTAATCCTGAGGTCGCGCGTTCAACCCTGCTTAAGGGGAAGGGCAACTCACACAGTATCCTTTACGCACGCGCGACTGGTGATGGCCGCGCGGTAGCAAACCGTTGGTACTGTGTTGTGCTGATGTCTATGTCGAATAATCCTTAAGATTATTATTGGTTTCCATCATGTGTCAAAGCAATTAAATCCACCGAACCTTCATGCACTAATCATAATGGATTGACCGAACTGTTTCCAACTGCGCATATCATGATTTGTGCCAGGTTGTATAAGATCACTACCAATCGCCGCTGCACGATTGTCAGGGTTATTCGCTTGTCATCCTCCGTACACTGTTCAGACTACCGTTGCGTTTTGTGTAACGTGTTTTACTACCAAACTACATTGTGGCCCTTTTGTGCATTTTTTACGCCACTAGGCTTCGAGTCATGTAATCGGAGACGTGTCCGTTGTCCTAGTAGCAAGCCATTGATACGGAAGCATTCAGGCGAATTCGGTCAACGCACTGGCTTCATTTGGTTACTCTCCTTCCAATGAAAGCTTAAGTGCACTCAGCACTCTTTAAATTTTTACTTGGAAACTCGCCTCATGTGTATTCTTTGCAGCATAGCACTTTACCATCACATCTCTCTTGCCTTGCCATCAGCTGGGAGTCTGCCTGGAACTCTGTTGCTCTATCTAGTCGAACCTCTGAGTATACGATATTGCTCGAATTCCGATCCGCTGAAAGCTGGCTTGGCATCTTGGCGTTCCTCGTTCGACAATAATGAGACTGTAGTCTCATTCGTAACACCTCCCGGTGAAGACTATCTACTGAGACTGGGACACGCTTGGATTTCAACAAACGCCACATGTGCTCCGAAGGCGGGTTCTGGGGTAAGCCTGCGACAAAGTCTTGCTTCGCACTGCCTCTGCTCGACATTCCTTGAATCTGTGTTGTCCCTGTTAGCGCTTTCGTGGTCTACAAGAAATTCATCCAGGCTTACATGCATTTTCCCACAAAATTGTTTATGGGGCTGAAGTTCTCAGCGTTTTTCTGGGTATTATTATCCCTTATATATGAGGTTGTTAAATTCTCCTAGGGATTGTCGACTGAGACCATCATTTATTCGTCGCTGAGTATCTTCCCGCTCACTTGTACCATACACTAACCTGCAATCTCCTGCTTTATCTGTTCTTTAGGCTTGTGAACTTTCAGGAGGCACATGCATTACTAAGTTGGACGGATTCTACCTAGAAACGACAGTTTGCCTCTTACTCGGCCTTGTCATCATCCCCGTCGTCATCCGACCTCTTGTACGCCGTCTTGATGCTCTATCTCCATCGGCGTACGCGTTCCGCCTCTCAGACACCAACCTCTGCCACCAGTGCATTCACCGCCGACGAAAGCAAAGTGACTCAAGCTGAGACCTGTACACTTCACCTAAACCACCTTGTGATCCGTTTTTTTTCATCTCCCACTGGTGTCAGTTAGGTTGTTGCCTTCTGTGATCTCTTCTTCGTTATGGTTTACCTCGTACAAGTTAGCCTACCCGCTTCAATTTTGTACGCCTCAAATCTTCTCACCCATTTCATTCTTCACGGTAACTTTCCGTCGCACAACGACCACTGGCTTTCGTTTTCGACTTGTCTCCTCACCTTCTGTACCTGTGTGGTGTATTTTTTTACCTGCTCCATGAGCTTATGCGTTTTTCACATGTGTACAATGGTACAGCACCTCGTTTGTTTTCCGTGCTTCTGCGCACTTCCTACTTTTTTCAGTTGCAATCAACGATGTCAGTGCTGCTCACATCATCTGCATTATCGTAACGGAAGAGTTCCAGAGTTGTGCTCCCAAGCTCTCACTCGAGATGCGCACACGTGTAATGCGAGGCCCCACGTCGTTTCCGTTTTGTTGCATTTGCGCACACGTCACCATCTAACTCGGTATTCTGTCTAATGCACGCTCGTCTTACTTTACTTGCCGATTGTGCATCATGTGTTGTGATGTGTTGACCCCCCCCCCAACGCGCCTCGCGTCTGCTTTGCATGTTGCCCCTGCAAATTGTCGCTGGTGTTCGCTGCACGTAGCGAGTTGTTATTTTTTTGTTGCCAACTTGCAAATCACATCGGTCAGCTGGATCGGCTGGTGCAACGTACGTTGCCATATCGCATTCATAAGCGTCCCGTTCTCGCTGCGCGCTATGTGTGCCGCAGCGCTTCGCGGATAATACTTTTTTTGTGCAAACAATTATCTGTGTTCCCACTGCGGGCTTCTTTTTTAACTTTGCTACTTTTTTGATGTATCTTTGATGCTTGTGTTCTAGTCTTTTGCATCATACTTGACGTCGTCTTGTTACCCTTCCTCTCAAGCGTCTACCTGATAGTGTTCGTAGACACATACTAAGTGACAACACGTGCGTCTTCAGCCTTAACGTTTTCAGTACATATTCATTGGGTGGAAGTCTGTTGCCTGAAATTGCTCCATATCGTCACAGAAAAACAACAGGGTGGTAAACCACCTGCGTTTTCTATTTCTTGAACTCTGTCTCATGTGATCGCCGCTTGTGATAGGTAGTCTGCTTCCACCTGCACCGCTTTTCTAAACCAAAACTTTTTGGAATGTTGTACACATTACGTGGCACCGGTTACGTTAATATTACAAAGGTCTGTGGTACTGGCAGATTCCATGTTGAGACACTCGAAGTTATGCGGATATTATGTTGGAGTAGGACTTGAACTTCATTCGATTTTCGTAGACCCGCTACATCGTTTCATCGCTTTGTGTTTCTGTCACTTGATGACGGTTTGGAGTACTTGTGGATTTTTTACGATTCTGTCGGCCGGTGGCCGAATGGTCTGCGCCCCTGGTTTGCAACCATAACGTCTCCGGTTCGAATCCGCATAGGGGTGGACGTCCTCGCGGTATACTCAGCCCACGCGGGGCAGCGAAGCGCCGTTATGACCTAAAGCTGACACATTATTATTTCTGTCGTTTTTCTACTGTGTTTTCAAGGCTGCCAACGAAATCTACGCATAACTGCGAACTGCTTGAAGGAAGTGCACGCGCTGCTTTCTTCGCAATCGTCTCAGCTCAGCCGAATTGCCCACTTGTCATGACCATACACATGCAGCACAACGCTGCTCCCTCCCTCTCTCTCTGATTTATGTCATTTTTCGTACCGCGCATCTCTTGCATGCCAAAGTGTGAACTTCTTGATCTTAGACATCACACGGATTTTGAAAAAATATGCCTTTACCCTTAACTTGGACCCGAACGTAATTTTTTTATTATAGCGCATGCAGCATATGAGCCGATGACAATTAGCAATCTGCTCTCTACTGACAGTGCACCTTGTGCGTTGCATTTCCTCGTCCTCGCAGGGACGTGTCAATGCCCCCACAGCATGCTCTCTTATACCCTACCTCCACATAAACCTAAGCTCTTTCGATATTCACTTTGAATTGAGTGTTTTGCAAGCCAAATTGGACACTGCATTCCAAGCGGAAAATCAGCATTTTTTAGGCAAGAAATAAGGAGTAAGGACGATGTTCAGACCACATTATGGTCATGTTAATGTAACCGAGCTGTGGAAGCAGCAGGCGATTGTGCAAGCCCTTCTCTTGACACCCATGGGTGTCGTTCACCTCAATCAAAGGCGGTGACCCAGTTTTACCGTCTCTCTATGAGCGTCCGCGAATTTTGCAGCCGTACGACTATTGGAACAGTGTGGACTGTTCTGACTCTACCAAACCCAGTCTAGCTTTATTGGCCTACTGCAGTATGAAACCACCAACATGAGCGACGAGAGGACGCATCTCCAAGGCAGCGACGGCATAGAAATAGATCCTCATAAAGTTTGTGTTCGTTGACGGCAAAATCACCCAGGTAGCTGCTATAGTCGCCGATATCAACGACAGCCCTCAGAAGGCTAAAGATTACGCTGAAGGAGTGCCAATACGATGTACACCGTGTCAACAGTGCCATTAAAATCACAAGCCGGTAGGCCTACGCTTCCTAATTATGGGCAAAGAGAAGTGTATCTTCATAGATGGAAGCTGGTTCAATCTGCGGCGGATGCAGGCTCGGTTAAGAAGAGGAATGCTTGAGAACGCCCTCTTGTCCACAGTCGGAGGCCACATGCGGACGCTGGATGGGGCAACGAATGACCAAGGCATTGTTTACTCACAGATCATGCACAACGCCAAGATCCAAATGCCGGATGATCTGAAGACCCTGCGCTCGTTTTATCAGTTAAACTCCATGCTGCTAAACCTAGTAGAAAGAGGTTTTGAAGGCGGAAGCATCGGCGAGATGCCTGCTGACAAATCCGACACCTGACCAGAGGATAACTGCGCTCACTCAAGAGAGCATGGGAAGGGTAAGCCAGCAGGACTGCAGGAATTACGTATTTTAAATGTGATGTTGAACCTGATAAACGCAGCAGTCGGACAGCACCGTAGCAACTGGCCGACTTTTAATTACACTGCTTTCTTTCTTATTAATAGACAATTTTCATTTCAAAGTGAGTGTTGTTCAAACCAAACTGTCGGGGTTAGCATGTAGGAAAAGGGCATGTACCGAGAAGTCAAAAAGTGTAAGCTTGCTGACTTGCGATTGTCATGGCACTGTTGATGCGATGTAGTTCGTAGTGGCACTCCTTGAGCGTAATGTTTAGTCTCCCGATGGCGTGAAAGACCATAGACACGGAAAAGTGGATCCCGTTCTCTCTTAGCCGCTGTTGCAAAAAAGTGTCCTCGGAATGCCGTTCAACTGTCGCTTCAAAGCGCTGCAGAACATTGGGAGTCAGATTCTCCCAGTTGTTACCACAACATTTTGCACTGGTACCTACATGCTTGTAGGCATTGATTATAATTTTTGCCGTGCTCTCGTTGACATCGGTGACTACAGCAGCTAGGTGGGTGATTTTGTCGTCGACGAACACAAACTTTATGAAGATCTTTTTCTGTGCCGATGACGTTCTCAAGTGCCGTCACTGCCTTGGAGATGCGTCCTCTCGTCGTTCGTCGCTCATGTTGGTGGTTTCATACTGCAGTAGGCCAATAAAGCTAGGCTGGGTTTGGTAGAGTCAGAACAGTCCACACTGTTCCAATAGTCGTACGGCTTCAAAATTCGCGGACGCTCATAGAGAGACGGTAAAACTGGGTCACCGCCTTTGATTGAGGTGAACGACACCCATGATCAAGAGAAGGGCTTGCACAACCGTCCGCTGCTTCCACAGATCGGTTACATTAACATGACCATAATGTGGTCTGAACATCGTCCTTACTCCTCATTTTTTGCCTAAAAATGCTGATTTTTCGCTTGGAATGAAATGTGTCCAATTTGGCTTGCAAGGCGTCCAATGTAAAGTGAAAATGTTTATATAAATCCATTGGGTACCAATGCGTGCCATATACCATAGCGTTTCCAACCAGGTGTGCTCACTGCATTTGGGCCGCCAACTCGAAAGTCTGGAACGCCCCACTGTGTCCAACTGCACTGTCAGTGCCTTGCTACCCTGGATCCAGGTTGTGTGCTACGAAACTATTCGTCGCTTCTAATCAATGCCGGCGCATTCGAACACAGCATGGTGCGGCAACCGTTGAGCAGCCATACGGAGAACGTGTCCGATCCACCGGAGCGCATGCAAGGAAGTTATGCAACTATGTCCGAATTGAAAATCGGACGTTGAGTGTCATTATTACTAATGCGACGCTCCGGAGGTAACGGGGATCGAGTAGTCTGGATATCACCGGCTCGAACGGGCTGGATCTCACAGCCATACATGAGCACTGTTCTCACATTAGCGTTGTAGACTCGATCTTTCACTGAAACTCTGAGATCATGCAGGCTTCTGAGGTTGGCACATGCTACTCTGGCTTGGGTGATGCGCAAAGTGATCTCGTCCATCAATTCCCTCACGCTATAGCAACTCACAAGTTAATCGAACTTGTCGACTATTTCCGGAAAAAGCCAGAAAGAATGAAAGTAGGATTAGCTTCTAGCCAGTCCTGGAGGAAAATCTTGCACTTCGAAGGGGGAAATATCAGTCCGAGCTGTGAAAGAAACCAACCTGGACAGCATGCGATGAGTCAGATCACTACGATGTAGTTAGCATACTCGAAGTCACGGAACCAATCGTCCGGGAGTAACTCGATGCCATCAGCTCCAGTCTTTTCCGGAGCACGTACTAAGATGTCATTCATGACGAAATTGAACGAGAAGAACGATGGGGGCAATCCTGTCTTTCGCCACTGATGATACTAACTGGGGGGGGGGGGCGAAAGTCCGCCGTACACTCATTCACAAGACTGATACTCAACGAGCCTGGGTGATTATCGCAGACCCGGTGGTTATGAAAAAGAGTGTCGGCGAGTCACATTGATTGGGTATGCATAAGGTGTAGATGAATAAACTGGCACAAGTTGCCTTCGACGCTCACACAATCTCATTGTGTTGCCCCGGATTGGGTTAACACACATCTTGGTCATAGTACGCATAACATTGGTCTCACTGTATTTGTATTTTCCGTGGGCGCATCACTGAAGTCAACATAAGCATTTCGTAATAGATATTGTGGCTGTTCTAATGCAATGGCATTGGGAGCACAAGCGGTACCGAATCCGCATCCTGTTGACGGTACAGTGTAGAAGCGCAGTTTATCGACCCAGACGAGGATTCCTTGAGTTACCAAACGCCTTCTGATAACCTCGCGTAGTATCTCAAAGTCCATTTTCAAAACGTTTCACAGAGGCAGCATTCCTGACCTTGTAAGTGTCTAACCGACGAAGAAATCAACTTGAAAATATTTGGTGTATACTGAAATCCGCACCAGAAGACGTAAGAGCGGTGTTCTGGTGAAGAAACAAGGGTCCATCTAGAGGCCCCGCCATTACGTCTTTTCTGGTCTTGTTTCATTCAACGTTTCCAGCGTTATGATACAAAGATTGAACACGTTTATTATGCGCTCATCCGCAGCACCGAATGGGCTGTCACACTGTGTCAGTATAAGCGGTGATATTCCATGAACTGCATGTTGTTTAGTTCAGTCACTGGGGCCACCTTTTTGACAGGGAAATCCTAGATTCTCCCCTGGTGCTTCAGTTGAACCAATTATGAATCGTTGTGAAGTATGTAGCTTATGACGCGGTGATTCGGCGGTACAAACTTCGGTCGACATCCTAAGTTCGAGTTTTACTGCTACTATCTATCACTGTTGGATGAGAATCCCGTCTTGGATTGCAGTGTTGCGCTCCAGATACGGTTTCTGTTGTTATTCCCTGCTCTGAGCTTACTCTCATTGGTTTAACTTCGCCTATTGTTGATTGATCGATATTTTTCTCGTTCTGAGCGGTTGTTTGTTTTACGTTTACCGCTTATTCAATATACGTGTGTTACATATTCGTTTTCTTATACATCATTCTCGGAGATCAAATTGACCAGGGTTCACTTCAATGCCAATCGCAATCCATGAACGCATCTTTTCGGTACATTTATGCAAGGCCTATGCTTAGAAAATGTCCTGGTGTAATACCGAAACATTAGTTATGCTAATCTCATAAAGATTGGTCGGAACGGCCCGCCAAATGTGTGAGTATACGTTGTTATGGTGAAATGTTTCGTGACATCGCACTCGGCCTATAGGTGTGGTACATTTTAACTGGTCCTCTCATAGTAGGCACACAGGTCGAGTTTGGTGAGCGCTAGTGGAGGATGGGAATATACGACCCCGTTTTTAATGCTTATTGGTTG